AGGTAAACCACTATGTCCCAGATTTCAAGTTTTTAAAAAAATATATATTTTATTGATTTTTTTACAGAGAGGAAGGGAGAGAGATAGAGAGCTAGAAACGTCCATGAGAGAGAAACATCAACCAGCTGCCTCTTGCACACCCCCTACCGGGGATGTGCCCGCAACCAATGTACATGCCCTTGACCGGAATTGAACCTGGGACCTTTCAGTCCGCAGACCGACGCTCTATCCACTGAGCCAAACCGGCTTCGGCAGATTTCAAGATTTTTGAGTCAAAGAGATGGCAACGAATTGTTTCATAGGTCTTTATTGTCTCAGAAGGCGTCATCTGATAAAGTCCTCATTTATGGTAGTTCCGTAATTGTGTTTCTACGCTGTATTCCGGTTTTACATGTAGCTATAGGCATCTGGCCCCTTCGTCTTAAGAACTGGAACCTGTCGCTCTCTAGTGCAGCGGCTGCCAACTGGTGGCCCGTGGACCCTGGTGGCCCTGAGGTCTGGAAGGTTGGTGACTGCAGCTCTCGTGTTTATAAAATAAACCATGACTAGCCTCTGCCAACAAGTAAACTAATAAACACGCTGCGGCTATGAAATAGCAGTGAGTGCAGGAGCTGCCTGCCTATTGCTGTCCACCTCTGGCCCCTGAGCCATTCTCAAACTCCACTCCAGACGGTCTTCTTACTTTCTTTACACCCAGCCATCCACAAACACCAGTGAGTAGAATATGAGCAGAATTAATGATTACAAGTAAAGTAGCAAGCCTGCCTTCAAGGGATTAACCATGTCACCATTATGGATGGCAAATTTTGTTTTGTTTTGTTTTGTTTTAGAAACAAAGCAAAGGGTTTGAGTTCATTAAACTATATGGATGATGAACTTTCCTATCAGCCAAAACAACACTTGTCTTTCAAATTAAAAAGTAATATATAGATGTAAAAAGGCGCTTACTTTTCACAAAAAAAGCAACAACTTTTCATCTACTATAGAAAGTGCTCCTTCATGTTTATGCCAGCAACAATAAAGTTTTCAGTGTTAGAATTTTTTAAAAGAGTTTAAGTAAGTTTTCAATACTTAATTTGTTTACATATTTAAAAATTGGAGCTAATTAAACTTTCCACTTGTACCTCTAAGCTCACCAAGTATGGCCCAGCCTAAGGGAACTGCATCCCAAAGGCTCACTAAATCCAAGGCATTCTTCACGATGTGCTCTCAGGACTAAGATTTAGTGGAACTTTAAAGGAAGAGCAAAAGCAAAGTTAAAAAATGAGTCCTCCAAAAACATTCATGCTAAGAACCCGACAATCTTTTCTCTCAAAGCCTTTACCTTAAACATTTAAATTAAGTTTTACAGGTTAACACCAAAGATGCCAATTACATGAAACTTGTTTCCCCCCAAATTTTAATCGCATAGTTTTTAAAATGTTTTCATCGTAGACCATTCGAAACTCTAAGTTGACAACCGAGAGCAAGCCACTGTCCAGGTCACACAAATTGAATGGGACTCCAGCCTCCGCCACCATAGGGACCAGGAAGTATTGCAGCTGAGCAAGGAGTAGAATTAAGCAAGGATGTTAATGGACTTTTCGGCAGCTGTTTTGAAGGACAGGAGGAAGTAAAAGGGAAAAAGGATGATAAAGATAATAGGAAAAGAATAAAGATCATTTACTTTACAACTAAGTGTACATTTACTTTAAAAAGTGTGAGAAGTTGAAGCTAATAGCATTAAAGTTTTCTCAATACTTAGGCTGAGCCCAGGTGATAATCTGCAAGTATGAATAATCAGATAATATATGGACCATGACATGCAAACGAGGCCTTGTTTCTGTTTTATGAATAGAATCGGAAGCTTAATGCAATCACTACGCAATTTTCAGTGGAAATTACAAATCTTGTAGTAGGGCTGTACAGTAAGCACTGTAACTGTGATCAAAGAGATGTACAAATTTTGAAGTATCAATAACCTGGGTGGGTTTATTACTGAAATGGATGGATCCCAACAATATCCACTGCAATAAAATTTAACCAAAACGTTTCTGGAAGATTTTTGGGTATCTGTTACCTGTGTATCTGACCCTGTTTCTGTAGACGAATACTAATTGCTCCCCTTCTTATGTAACTGCTGGCCTCAACTGCAAGGACCTATCTAATGTGAGAATTTGCTTAGTCCTATCAGAATTAGGATGATGTGCTAGAAAGTAGAGTTCTGATTCTATTCTTTTTCTCTCAAAAAAGTGTCTGAATTGAACCAAAAAAAAATTTAGGCCTGCCTGGTAACTTTATTACAATAGTAATACTTCAGAAATTGGAAAGGATTTACTTTAACTAAAAGATTAAAGTAATATTTCTTTGTCTGAAACACAAATCTTTATGGATATTAGTATTTTTTCATTTCTTTAGTTTATAGAACTTTTAAAATATTTTATAGCAAATATATTACTAAATTTGCATTTTATGGAATTTAGCATCTTACCTTTTATACTTTTTCTTTTTAACTTATATTACAGCACAGTACTCTATTATTGTGGAGATTTCTTGGTGTTATAGATCCTGTTTGACTCATTGCATTAGACTGAAAACTAGATACGTGTAATATGTGTGCAATATTCTGAGATTTAAGCTTTCTTATAAATATTAAGTCACTTTGCTCTTTTATTATGAAAACTAACAAAGCAGATCAAGTCTTTGAGTTTCAGATTATTACATTTTATTTCCCCCTAAAATCAGCCAAATTTTGAAAGGAAAAGCACTTTGGAGATCTTTTCAGAGTAAATATTCTATTTTAGAATTATTCTTTCTGTAAAATTGTAGGTGGGAGTACTAGGAGTCTTATAAAAACTATAAAAAATATAATGGCAGGCATGATTATTGGTCTTAGTTTTATGTTTTTGCTGATCTCAAAAGCACTGATAATGAGGAAATTATGTTTTTATAACTGGGCATGAGTAAATGAAAACCAGAACATTTATTACATTATCATTTCTAAGTCATTTTCTAAAAATTTAAAATAAGAACATAAAAGGGCAGTGTGTTCAAATGTAAGGTTTTTCCTTTTCTTTGTAACAGAACCATCCAAAAAAACCAAATTACCTAGTTCCTGAATATGAAATATGGACATATTTGAAGGAGTAAGTTGCAACGGGGTGTATGGCCACAATAAGTTGTTGAATGTCTTCACAATCAAAATTACTTAAATCCTATTAAAAAAGATTCTGTATTTAGTGTTTATACACTTTGAACTTTCAAGGCTGCAGATAAGAAAGTTGATTCTGAAAGGAAAATTATTGTGTTTTCTCGATGTTGAATGAACAGCATCGCTTTCCTCCCACCTCCTGGTCCCCATCAAGTCTAAGTCTACATGCTTTGTAGGCATCTCCATCCTCAGCTAGAGACAAGGAATGGAAGTGCTTTGCCTTTCAGAAGCAATAGGAGCTGAAAAGTAAAGTAAGGACATAATACATTTACTTTCTTTCCTCAGAAAGAACTTAGAAACAGGTGGATCCCAGAAGTGCTTCAGAAAAGGACAACATTCATCCTGGCCAGGTGCCACCCCTATATGCCAAGGTTGTGGGTTCAATCCCCAGTCAGGGCACACATACGAATTAACTAATGAGTGTATATAAATAAGTCAAACAACAAACTGATGTCTCTTAAGAAAAGACAATATTCTTCCCAGATGAACAAGCTACATTTGAAGAAGATCTAATAAACATCCATATTTAAGATTTAAATATATGTTGCATATTATTAATTCTTAAACACCTCAATAAGAAACAAAAATGTATAACTTCAGGGATTAGGAAAGTATTCCTGCTTTTTGTAGATGAGCATGGGTCATGACATGATTTGGTTGTAATTTTAGATACTTAAACTCTAATAGCTTACTTTCAATTTTCTGTGTATAAATAGAAAAATGTACTAAGCATGTTAATGGGGAACACACTAGGAGAAATACACACAAATGCAAATTTCTGCCAGAAAGTTTTGGAAATGTAGTTGTTTCTCTTTATAAATGCTTCTAACCTTCCACGATCCATTATTTACATAAACCAATTTGAGCAACTGTATCTATCAGAAATAGATATTTTCTTTACAAACACAAACATTTTTTCCCCCCACTGTGCTTGAGACTGCAACTTGACAACATGTTCAATATGGCTATGTTTAAATATCGGGTCCCAGTGCTAACAAATTCAGAAGCCAGAAATATTTTATGTTAAAACTGCCAGAGTATCTTTCATTCATTCTGTTTTTCTTTATTGTTATAATTTAAACAAATTCAGAAATTTGGAGCATTTCTGGCTACTCCAGTAAAACATACTGCAAAGACAAAGGGAATAAACGTAAATGGGAGAAATACTTGATTTTTTAACTGCTCTGCCCTTATGACCAGGAATCTCACATGCTGGATCTGAATACATTGCTAGCATTTGCTCCAAAAAGATCTCTGACACTAGAGCAAGTCAGAACCCCTTCAGGTCAGGGCCAATTTAATGGCAGGCAAAGTAGCTTTCACACACTTGAGGTTTAGGTAAATAGCACATTATTTAAAAGCCAGACTTCAATTTTGTAAAAAGTCTCCAAATAGCAAAAGAAATTAAAATCTAGATAGATACCAGAACTAAAAACAGCATGTGAGACAACAAACAATATTTCCAGTCAAACCAAATTACAACCTTTTCAGTATAGCTTGAGGTATTCTTAAATATTTGTAGGAGCTAAGTAGCTTTCACAGTTTCCAAAGTTGCTTTCTACGGAGATAGGTCAAATTCTCATTATATTTAACTTTCAGAGATGTTTTCATGGACCAGAGTCTGTCCTCAGGCTCATGGAAATGTCAGCTATTCAGTGGCAGAAAATGGTTCTTGTAGTAATAAATGTCCAATTTCCCATTATTGTGCTATCCTTAGGATGTGATTAAAAAAATAATTTGCAATTTATATAAAAGGAAACTTGCTTAAACTTCGGAAAGCAAATCCAGTCTGGTGGAGGTATAGAAGACGTTAAATAACAGAGTCAGATTCTTTCTTCACGATTCCAGATGAACTTGACAGCAGAGAGTTCTGGTTCCCCAGCATTTTCTCCAACTTTTCTCCTCCAGTGGTTTTATCCATCTCTCTTTGCTTCTTACTATGGATCCATGGGATAAAGCAAAGGACTGCGCCTCCAATAAGGGGAGGGACTCCAGCGAGATAGAATGCCACATCATAGGAACCCAGCTTCTCACGAAGTAACCCTAGGAAGGGAGAAAGCGGTCACCAAAAGAATTAGGTGGGGCCCTCAGGGTCTCAGATCAGTCTCAGTGGCGGCCTGCCTAGTTCCAACCTAATGACTTCATCTCAGCAGAACTAGTTCAAACATCTCAGATTATTAAACACTAAGTGCCCGGTGCATGAAATTTGTGCACTGGGGGGGGGGGGGGGGGGGCGGGAATCTCCTTAGCCCAGCCTGTTCCCTCTCACATACTGGGAGCCCTCAGGGAATGTCCTACTGACAGCTTAGGGCCCCTCCCCTTTGTGGGAGACAACTGGGCTGATCAGGGAAAGGCACCAGCCCCTTCACCCCGCTGCTGCAGCCACTGCCAGTCACTGCAGCCACCAAGGTGTTTTCATCAACACAGACTTCATCCAGTCCCTTCACCAAGAAAAAAAATGACAACTGTCTTGAGGCATTTTCAAGATGTGTCTTTGATAGGATATGACATTTCTTTTTCTTTTATCCTCACCTGAGGATATGTTTCCATTGACTTTTAGATAAAAGAAAAGGAAAGACAGAGAGAAACATCAAAGTGAGAGGAACACTTTGATTGGTTGCCTCCTGCATGAGCCCTGACCTGGACCCAGCCAGGGAGGAGCCTGCAACTTAGGTACATGCCCTTGATCAGAATCGAACCGGACCCTGCGGTTGGCAAGCCTAGGCATTACCCACTGAGTCAAACTGGCTAGGGCAGGATATGACATTTCTTAGCCCTCCAGCAGCAGACCTTCGTTTTTATCTCCAGGAGTGTGATGGAAAAGCCCTAGATCACCTTTTTGGATTCTTATACCCAAGTCACTAAGAATATTACCAGTGGCATACAGGGAGCTTAGCCAACGAGCAGTCAGAAAAGGTGTTTCTTGGGTAGTTCACACCTATCTCTTCCGATCTCCGGCTCCGACCCACCAAGGCCTAAAGCCTCCAGCCCTGGGAGGGAACCCCAGCTGGCGCGATTGCCCAGCTCCACCTCCAGCCAAGGCCTCAAGCCTCTGGCACCCTAACAAATCCTAGGGTTGTGGTTCTGAACCTGTTATTTAGCATACTCCTTGTATCTAATTTATCTATCATAGTCCAATTTTTAATTAGTTATCTTAGTGTTTTTAAACTTTTAAAAAATATTTTCATTAATTTCAGAGAGGAAGGGATAGGGAGAGAGAGAGAAACATCAATGATGAGAATCATAGGTTGGCTGCAATGAATTGAGCTGAACTTTAACTGAGTCCTTCACATGCCAGAAATAGAGGACAGTACATACATTTAAATTTTATCAAATTTTCTTATCATAAAAATTCACATTAGCACCCAAGTAATACTGAAATAAGAAATCTTTATACTATCATTCAGAAGATTTCTAAAGGTGAAATTTACGTAACATAAAATTAACATTTTAATGGCATTTAGGACATTCACAATGTTATGCAACCACCACCTCTATCTAGTTCCGAAATGTTTTAATCACACTAGAACAGAACTCCAAGCCCATTAAGCAGTTATTCCTTTATCCCCTTCCCTTTGGTCCCTGACAAACACACATCTATTCTCTGCCTCCATGGACTTACCTACTTTGGATGTTTACATAAATGGAATCATTTAATATGTGGCATTTTGTATTTGGCTTTTTGTAGCACACGAAAAACAAAAAACTAGTAACTAGTAAATTAAACATTTACATATAAGTGAGACTTTGGACCTGTAGTAAAAAAATGCTATGAATTAATATAATTACTGGAAAATAATTACAGTTACCTGCAATGGGTGGGCCCACAGTCATGGGTATAGACATGAAACCGAGCAGAAATCCAATTGCTTGGGAAACATCCTGGGCACCAACTAACTCAAAGGCAATGGGGGCCATAATTGAAATGAAGCATCCATCGAAGAGGCCCATGATGAGACAGACAGCGATGAGGGCCCCAAAAACGCTGCACAAGGGAATCATCATGGACATCAGACCAATGAAGACAAAGGAGAGCACCTAGGACAGACACCACATGTCAACTCCGCTGTCAGGAAAAGTGAATTTTACACTCACTGAGCAATATGTTTAGAACTTTTAATAAGTCACTGCTTAGTCACCTCCCCAGCCCCATTCACTTTGATTTTATACACATAAACAACTTCCTTAATCAACTCCCGGAGTTCCCTTAGCACTTTCTCAGTATTTCCATGAAAGCCGTAATTTTCAACCTTTTTCATCTCACGGCATGCCTAAAATAATTACTAAAATTCAGTGGCACACCAAAAAAAATTTTTTTGACAAAAAATAGTTGTAATTTTGGTTCATTCACACGATGCCTGTTGTTGTGTTGGCTGTTGTCATTTTTGTTGTTGTTGTTAATCCTCATCCGAGGATATTTCCCCAGATTTTTTGGAAGAGAGTGAAAGGAATGGGGAGAGACAGAAGCATCGTTGTGAGAGAGACACATCAATTGGTTGCCTCCCACACCGGTCCCGATTCACACTGGGAATTGAGCCTGCAACTAAGGTATGTGCCCTTTACTGGAATTAAACCTGAAACCCTTCAGTCCTTGGGCCAACACTCTATTCAAACTGGCTAGGGCTGTTGTCATTTTTTTTTAATAAACAGTCTAAGTGAAAAGAAGTCAGTGCCCTAAGTAGTCAGGTATTACATGTTTTATTTATTATTATTATTATTTAAATATGTTTTTATTAACTTGAAAGAGAGAGGAAGGGAGATGGAGAGAGAGAGAGAGAGAAACATCAATGTGAGAAACATCATTCCGCTGTCTCCTGCACGCCCTCTACTGGAGACTGAGCCAGCAACCCAGGCATGTGCCCAGACTGGGAAGCCAACAGGCAACCTCTTGTGCATGGCCTCATGCTTCATCAACCGAGCCACACTGATAGGGCAGGTATTGCATGTTTTAAAAATTCTTGAAAATTATTGTAATGAAGAAACCAGAAGGGCCGGGACCGAGCATCGGCTTGGGGACTGAAGGGTCCCGGGTTCGATTCCAGTCAAGGGCATGTACCTTGGTTGCGGGCATATCCCCAGTAGGGGGTGTGCAAGAGGCAGCTGATCGATGACTCTCTCTCATCGATGTTTCTAACTCTCTATCTCTCTTCCTTCCTCTCTGTATGAAATCAATAAAATATATTAAAAAAAAAAAAGAAACCAGAAGGAAGTATTTTTCCCTCCAAGCCTGTACACTCTTTGAAGTCAGAATCAGTACAAGACACTTTTGAATTAGATATTTATAATGTTTAAGGATCTTGCACCTGGTCATTGCTTAATAAATATTATTTCTTTATGCCCTGGCTGGTTTGGCTCAGTGGATAGAGTGTTGGCCTATTCACTGAAGGGTCCCAATTTGATTCCAGTCAACAGGCTCCATCTCCAGTAGGGAGCATGCAGGGAGGCAGCCAAGCACTGATTCTCTCTTATCATTGATGTTTCTCTCTCTCCCTCTTCCTTCCTCTCTGAAATCAATAAAATATATTTTTTAAATGATAAATTAAAAATAAATAAATTACTAGTTATTTGAATATCAGCTCAAATTCATTCATCAAACATTTGATTCTTAGCCCTGGCCAGGTATCCCAGGCAGTTAAGAGTATGCCAAGACTACAGGTTCAATTCCTCAGTCATGGCACATACAAGAAAATCAACCAATGAATGCATAAATAAGTGGAACAACAAACTGATGTTTCTCTCTCTGTTGATGTGTGTCTCTCTCTCTCTCAAAATTGGTAAAATAATTTATGTTTAATTTTATCTTTAAAATTACATATACTTTATTGTTATTAAATAAAAATAAAGTATTATTATTTAATAACAGGAACACACAGGGGGCAACCAATGAATTCGTGAATGGATGGAATAACAGGTTGATATTTCTTCCTCCCTCTCTCCCTCTCTTCTCTCTCTCCTCTCCTCTCGCTTTAGGAAATCAATTTTAAAATATTTTTTAAAAAAGAAAAAGCTGAAAGTTTTGTCATGCAACAAATGTCCTTTAGAGGGCTCCCTTGACACTTGAGAAAACAAGACCAAATGTTCTGCTCAATGTTTGACCAGGATATCCACAGTTAGGTAATAATAAAAGGGGGAATAGTCAGAGTACAATAAATACTTTTAAAAGTAGCACTGCCCCACACTTCCTTCTAGCTGTGTGCGCAGACTCTGTCCTGTGGCGTCTGCCTGGACCTGCACAGACAGCCACGGCGAGGGAGCCTCTGTCTCAGTGTCCACCTCTCCACGTGGAGATGACATCACCTTCCTCCCAGGGCAGGGCGAAGAGTAAAGGAGACCATGCATCGTGGAGATGCTCAATGTGCGGAGGTTGGTATTGCTTCACATCAGTTAACGGAAGTTCTGTGTGTGTTACATACACTGAGCGCGCTCTGCCTCCTGGCGCCCCGTGAGTGAGTGAGTGCCATCCACAGCTCCTGTCCTCAGCAGCCCTGCCCAGCTGTGGACGCCTGCCTGTGGCTTCTTTTAGGGAGTCAATCCACCTCATGTTTGGTCTTCCTCTTTATGCTGCCTCCTGTTTTTCCCAGCATTTCTGTCTTTTCCAAAGAACCCTGCCTTCCCATGATGTGCCAAAGTAGGAGAGCTTCAGTTTTGCCATTTTTGCCTCTAGCTATGTTTCCGGCTAATTTGCTCTAGGCCCATTTGTCTTCCTAGTGGTCCAAGGCATCGGGAGAGCTCTCCTCCAACACCATATTTCAAATGAATCATCTTTTTTCCTATCAACCTTCTTCACTGTCCAACTTTGTATCCACACGGTAAATTACCTTTCTATGCCTTTTCTAATCACTCTCCCGTGCCCAAATTCCTGCTCTCCTTCAAGGCCCTCCTCCTCAAATACTGCCTCTCCTCTGCAGAGTGAGCAGACATGCTCACTCCCCCACCCCGGAGTCCCTTTGTGGCTCTCCTTTGCCTTCCTGCCACAGCCAAGCTTGTGGGCAAAGTTGTCTACATTTCCATTTATTCAACTGATGATGATCAGGCTTCAAACATTGTTTCCCAGACATAATATACTCCATCACACTTTCACCTCTTTGCACATATGGTTTCTCCTGCCTGTCCTTATCCGTCTGATTTTCACCATTTAACACTCTGCCAGCCTAGACAGCCTGCTCACACCCCCATGAGTGATCCAGATGCTTGGTGCCTATGTTGCTATGGCACCCATCTAGCATACGTATAGTCCACTGTGCTATAACACTTATCTGTCTTCCCGTGATTACCGTTAGCTACTAATTGAAGATACAGACCATGTTTCATCTGTAGCATATAACAGTGTCTGGTATGGAGGAGTCACTTAAATACTTGTCAGAGGAGGTCCATATGCTCTTAGAATTAGCATTTGTTAATTCTAATTACTCCACAATACCCAGAGGCAATTTCAAATAAGGCAAACATGCACACCCCTGAATTTCACAAGATATTGCAAAAGGCACACGACTATAAAAACTATGCCAAACCACAATTCTAAGAAAAAGGAATGGGCAAAAACACATTTTGATTCGGTAGAGTTCTGTGGCAAAACAAAGAAAGGTTGCTGTTTGATTGCCCATTTTTCATCATGAAAACCCAAAACTCATAACTGATTTTGCCCTTGAAAAAACTGCTAGAAGTTAGGTTCTAGAAAATAGTCCTTATTTTTACAGAAGAATTTGAGCAAATACATACATACAACGAGACTCGAGGTGATGGAATACTTTTGCTGGGGGACAGGACTAAAGAGAGTACCTGCAGGTAAACCTTCTTCACGCCAGGCACGTAGTCTGCGATCCGGCCGAAGAGCAGCCGTCCGACGCCCGAAGTGACGCCGATGCACATGAGCACCACCTCCTTGTTGGGCTCCTCTTTAAACCGTTCGTTCACGTGTTTCACCTGCAGACCAGAGAGGAGGCGGCCCCGCTGAACATGGCGGAAAAACATGGCGGGCCTGGAAGCACGGCACCGATGCCTTTGGGTCTCTACAACGTGATGGAGTCTCAGCCCCTTGTAACTTCAAATATTTATAGAAGTGCTCTGTCAGAACATCTGGAGAAAAGCTAACGTGCTTTAGTGTGCATGAAAGAAATGAGGATTTTTATAAGGTCTTTTTAAATTGTAAGGAAGGGACCTGGCCGGTATGGCTCAAGGGTAGAGCATCGACCTATGAACCAGGAGGTCAAGGGCTCATGCCCGGTTGCAGGCTCGATCCCCAGTGTGGGGTGTGCAGGAGGCAGCCGATCCATGTTTCTCTCTCATCATGGATGCTTCTCTCTCAATTCCTCTCTGACATCAATAAAAATATTTAAAAAATAAACAAATTTGCCGAATCGGTTTGGCTCAGAGGATAGAGTGTCGGTCTGCGGACTGAAAGGTCCCAGGTTCGATTCCGGTCAAGGGCATGTACATTGGTTGCGGGCAAATCCCCAGTAAGGGGTGTGCAAGAGGCAGCTGATTGATGTTTCTCTCTCATTGATGTTTCTAGCTCTCTATTCCTCTCCCTTCCCCTCTGTAAAAATCAATAAAATATATATTTTTAAAAATAAAAACAAAAAACAAAAAACAAATTTGTAATGAAGAGACTGGAAGTCTCTTAAGGGGATGTCATCCAGGAGGGCTGCTGGTGCCACATGGGAGCTGTGTGGGCCTTTGTACTTGCTGGGAAATCTGCGTTGCAGGCTCCCAGAACCCAGGCCAGTGTCTGGTTAGGGGCGCTTTGTAAGCGAACATTGATCCGTGCGTTAGCCAAAGGAAGAGAACAGCGTTGTTCTCTCAAGGCCACCCGAGGATCCAGCACATTCTCTCCTCCCCTGAAAGGCAGCTTAGGGACCGGGGCTGGAGTTTCAGCTCCTCCAGGAGGGCCTGAGTCAAACTCTCAGCCCTGGAGTAAGTGATACTGGAGCTTCCAGGATAAAAGCATAAGGTTCTCTACCTGTGAATGTGCCTATTTCTGTGGCCTTAGGATACGGAGGCAGTTTAACAGTGTTGAAAAGAAAAGACTCCAGAGAGACTGCTTGGCTTCAAGTCTTGGTTCCATCTCCTATCAGCCTGGGAAAGTTCTTAGCCACCAGGACCTGGTGAATGGAGACAGCCATAGTACTTCCGGAGGGTAGCTGTAATTATCAAATATCTGTAGGAAGAACTTAGAAGAGTACCTGACACACAGCTAAGAATGATCAGGTAGCAATTTTAGCCTAATTATTTTAAAGGGGCCTTTCCTTTCATTTACAGTCTGCTTAGAACAATGAGAACAGCCAACAGCCTGACACTGTTTAAGAAGGCAGTGTGACCAGGCAGGTGCTATATTGGGTGACAACACACAGCTCGGCACCCACGTAAGCTTTGCTCCCACAGCCAGAGTTTGACAGTTTCACGTTTCGCCCCACCTCTCTTAGCATTTCCATTCTCTTCGTGATCATCTATCTGTGCTCACAACAAGGAAAAAAAGCACACTGTGCTCCTACTGAGATGTTACAACAAACACAAACAGCTGCTTCAAATAACCAGACTCCCTGCGCCCCTAACCAGACACTGGCCTGGGTTCTGGGAGCCTGCAACGCAGATTTCCCAGCAAGTACAAAGGCCCACACGGCTCCCATGTGGCACCAGCAGCCCTCCTGGATGACATCCCCTTAAGAGACTTCCAGTTCGCGCTTTTGGCCTCCGTGGTTATGTCAACCCATCACATCTGCCTTTTCCCTTTCCAAACCGGTAACTGTTCGCCTGTATTTCCACACTGGTCCAGAATAATCCTCCTATGTATGGTTTGATCTCATCAATCCTTTACTCACCAGTTTCCTGATGCCTACATTTATACTCCTTGGTTGAGCATTAAAAGCCCTCCTTGATCTGTCACCAATCCACCTTTGTACCTTACCTACCAACCCTTGACTCAGAAGTGGAGTAAATACCCAAATACCTGCAGCACTCAGGCACAGTGCATGAAACCGGCTGCTGGAGAGGATCGCCGGTGCTGCCAAGCTACCTCCCAGCCCCCTTTTGTTTTAAAAAGACAGCAGAAACCTGGACTTTTGTGTGCAAGTGCTGGCCCCTGACTAAAATTAGAACGCCGCATGATCCAACCCCACCCAGGCAAGCCAAACAAAACATGTCTGCAAACTGCATTAGGCCCGCTTTGATCTCAGCCCTGACCCATCTGGCCCAGCAGGATGGGTCTACTCAGTGTCTGAAACGTTCTGACCTCACTACATTTCTGCTGCCTCTTCTACCTTCTCTGACTTTCTAAATTCTATCCATTCTTTACGAGGCCACTGGAATCCCCCCTTTTCTATAAAGCTGCCCTTGATTGCCTCAGCCTCACACCCCCTTCTTGTTAACTGCCTAAAGTTTTCACTGGCACCGTAAGTACTGGGTTCCTTCCCAGCCTGTGTAGCTTCTAACTCTAAATAGACTCCAGCAAACTCTTCCCTGTCAAACTGGACATATCCACCTGACTGTGACAAAAGTACCTCAGGGTCAACATGCCCCATGCTGCACTCATGTCCCCTTACGGCCTGTTCTCCTTCCATGTCAGTTAGCACTACTGCCGTTGGCCCAACTACCAGTGGTAGGAACCTGGTAACTATCCTAGATTCCTCCCTCCCTCCTCCCTCTCTTCAAATCCAACAGTGACCACCCAATTCTGGTGGTTTGACCTCCTACATCTCTGTCAGCCCATGTTCCCCACAGTGTTTATTTTATTTTTTATTAATTTCAGAGAGGAAGGGAGAGGGATAGAGAAACAGAAATATCAATGATGAGAGAGAATCATTGATCCGCTGCCTCCTGCACGCCCCCTACTAAGGATTAAGCCTGCAAGCGGGCATGTGCTCTGACCAGAATTGAACCCAGGACCCTTCAGTCCACACGCTGATGCTCTATTCACTGCGCCAAACCAGCGAGGGGCAAACCAAGTTATCACTGCTCACCTAGACCACTGCACCAGCCTCCTAACAATGCTTCTTGAACCTCACTTCTAAATCTCTAGCCTATATTTTCTCAAACCATCAAGTTAAGTTCTCTGCCCAAGATCCTTTTACAGCGCCCATAACCTTCAGGGTAAAGTTCAAACTCTTGGCTTGACAGATAAAACTTTCCTCCTTTGCTACTGCAGCCTCACCTTCGGCTGACTCCTCATATTCTCCGTGTTAATTAACACTGTGTTGTCCAACATGGCCTGAGTTATTAAGTACTTTAAATGTGGCTAGTCAAACTGGGATGTATTGTAAGTGTGAAACACACAGCAAATATAGAACACTTGGGATGGGGGGGACACGCAAAATATCTCAATAATTTAAAAATATTGGTTCCATGTTGAAATAGAACCATGTTGGTTATATTGATTAAATGAAATATAAAATTAATTCCTTTTTTTTTTTTTACTTTTTAAAATATGGGGAAGGGGGTGGGGGAGGTAGAGAAGGAGACAGGGATAATAAATGGTGATGGAAGGAGACTTGGTGGTGACACAGAATACAGTGTACAGATGATGTGTTGTAAAATTGTGCACTTGAAACCTGTATAATTTTGTTAACCAGTGCCAACGAATAAAGTCAATAAAAAGGAAAAAATAAAATATGGCTACTAGAAATTTTTAAATTCCATATGTGGCTTGCATTATATTTCTATTGAACAATGTTGGTCTAAGTAAGAAATCCACTTGTAGCTGCAAAGATAAGACAGCTGTCAATAAAAGACCCCAAACTAGCTTATTCCTCTGAGCCCTTATTACTGCCCATAAGTGAGATATTTGATAAGGTAGAAAGAGATGGATTCCATCTCAATTCTGAAGAAAAAGAATCACCTGATCTAAAGCAGATGGGATAAAATTAAGTGTGTTCATTGGTTTTATTTGGAATTTGAATCCAGACTCTACTGTTATTAACCCACTTCAGGAAGCACCCAAAGGATCTATTCTAACTTTTAAAAATTACTTTTATTTAGCCTAAACCGGTTTTGCTCAGTGGATAGAGTGTCAGCTTGCGGACTGAAGGGTCCCAGGTTCGATTCCGGTCAAGGGCATGTACCTTGGTTGCGGGCACATCCCCAGTGGGGGGTGTGCAGGAGGCAGCTGATCGATGTTTCTCTCTCATCGACATTTCTGACTCTATGTCCCTCTCTCTTCCTCTCTGTAAAATATCAATAAAACATATTTTTAAAAATTATTTTATTTATTTCAGAGAGAAGGAAAAAGAGGGATGCCGAGAATCAATTCCAGCATATAATAATTACAAGAATTTTACCAAAAGGTTGGTGAAGCTTGGGGAGCTCAACAGGACGGAGTCATATGCAGTTTACCTGTTGGAAATGCTACAAAGAGTCTCTCCCAAACCTGAATGGTATTGTCTGCTGCCAGACAGCTCAGGGCATTTTGTTGCCTCCTGTTGGCCAAACACCTGAACAGCTGTAGGCTATTCCCAAAACCTACAATCTCTGTAAGCCCTTTGATACCATATCCTTTGAAGTGTATATCTCCACCTTGCCTTTGGACAAACTGTGTTTAATAAAAACCCAGGTCCTTGGTCAAGGAGAGTCTTCTAGCTCCTTCAGCTGGAAGCTCCTCTGAGCCCCAATGCCTCTCAAAAATATCTTTCATCCACAGACTCCTTCTTAATCATCCACACACAGCCCTTTCTCCAGAATGCTGAACCTTTGTAAGGCTGGGGAAAAAGAACCCTGGCAGAGGGAGAGAGAGAAACATCAATGGTGAGAAAGAATCCTTGATTGGCTGCCTCCTGCACACCCCTTACTAAGGATCGAGCTGCAACCCAGACTTGTGCCCTGACCAGAAATCAAACCATGGTTCATAGGTTGATACTCAACTACTGAGCCACATTGGCCAGGCTCCCTCCACATTTTCAAGGGCATGGGTGGTTTTTGCATAATGTCTTGTATAT